CTGAGTGTGAGATCACATGGTATGGAATATCCCTTTGGTTGGTTTAGGTCAGCTGCCCTGGTGATGTTTCTCTTCTCAATTTTTGCCCACCCCCTAGAGAGAGGCCCGATGCTGTGCCAGTGCTGCTCAGCAGTAGACACAACACTGGTGTGATAACACTGCTGTTCCAGCTACAAGTGCAGAGTACAGCACTGTATGGGCTGCTACAGGGAAAGTTAACATTCCAGCCAGACCCAGTACAACTTTGATAAATATACATTTTTTTTTATTTCAGACCATGCAGAACAACAAAATGGTTGATATGAGAAAAGTAGAGAAACAACAGAAAGTCTGAAATACATGATCTCTTTTGGGAAGCTGAGAGTAGTCAAGACAGCAAGAATTTGTGTTGATTTCAGGGCTTTCCTTTCCCAAATTCCCATATTGCTAACCTGTCACATTTGTTGTCATAAAATGTGTCTGTGATACTCTGTATATAACAACATTGAAGCATTTCCTCTGTTATACTTCATCATATATCTATCTCCATCTTAGATGCTCTGCCATCTTGACTGGAACATTGATTTAAATTAATGAGCACTGTAGCTACTGTGATTATCCCATATGCTGTGATAACTTTGTATCCACAATATTTTTCAGTTTCAGTAGTTTTCCTCCAACTTCTCTATAAATGTCCATTATTCAGTTTACAGTTGAACATATGAGAAAGGGTTATTTAGTTACCTGTCCTTTGACATGATGTCTAACTATTGCTCATTTGCACAAAAGTATTCTAAACTGAGGATTTCAGTGTCAGTTACAATAAAGCCTTCTTTAATACAAATGTTTAGTCCTGCTGTTGTTGCTAATTATGATACTGCAATTTGTATTTTGGTAATTATCAGTCCACCTAAAGAAAATAACTACTTAGAGAAGGAAAAGTTTTGGAGAAAAAAATTGGCAAAGTAATCATATTACCACTTATACAATTTTATAGAATGCAGACTTTTATTATTCCACTTTTACTACCATTAACAAACACTTCCAATTTAAACTTCTCTTCAGTATTGTTTTGTGAAAGCAAAAATTATTTCAATGTTCTGTAACTTGGTAACTGCAGATAAACTGGCCAATAGAGCAATTTTCTAACTAGAAATTGTTGTTTCATCAACACTCACAGACTGATTTCATTAAACTTTCATTAAAAAGAAAATATAGTTTTACCAGAAAAAAAAAAAGTTTTCATTCCTTGAGTTCCAAAATATATTATTTTCTTGTGGTATGTTTTTGTACTGCTCATGATAAGGAACCACTGAATACTAAAATCAATGACAAATGGTCAGTTAGAACACCAATTTATCAGCTAGAACACCAATTTCAAAAGTAATTATCATTTAGAATAGCAATTTTTAACACAGTGGATATGAGATGTCATATCCAGTTATGCAAATCATGCAGTGACATAGTAATAAAAACATTTAAATGTTTTTATCTTTCATAAATTACAAGCTAAGATACAATTTGCAATATGAGAATCCAACCAAATTATTCCTTATTTCTTGATATTTTTTTCCACAATAAATTTTTATTTCAGGTTTTCTGTTTGTTATCATTCAAAATGTTAATTAAAAAAGAAAAGTTCAAAAATTCCTTTGAATGGGAAATTTTGACTTTTGTCTCATCCTGTTAGTTTTGGTACAATTTTCTGGTTGTATCAGCTGGTAAACTAGAAAAATAATTTGACTAATTTTTTATAAAATAAACTATTTCCTATTGGTAGTGGCCATAACCAAAGTGAAGAAGCAAAGAAAGATATAGGAATTCCACAGGAAGTAGAAATGAGATTAATTTTATAATAAGACCTAAGATCTGGAAGGATTACTTGAGGAATACTTCTTTATTTCTTATGTATGTGTTTTATTGTTTCTTTTTTAGTGCTTGAGTATTCTTCCAAAATCTATTGAAAAATCTATCTTCCTCTGGGACTTACTAAAGCCTTGGCATCTGCAATGTGTTGTAGATGCAACTTCTGTAGTGAAAGACTGTGTTGAATAGATATCGTCTTGCAATGCTATTATCAGATATCTCCCTATTTTTCTACAGATCAGGACAGAAGCTTCCGTAAATCATTCATAATTGTTTATGCTTTTGTTATCTTGCTTCTTGCTTCCTTTCAAGAAAGCTGAAATACAAGCTAAATCCATAAATATATATTGCAAACATATGTATATATACATGCTTTGGTAAAATTTTAATTTCCTGATCACATATTGTCTTCTCCTCATGATCTCAGTTTTATTTCATGAAAAAATGGGAAAGATTCAAGATTCCTGGGCATAACTCCAAGTTTTTCTGGTAACATACACCAAGAGGACTGTAGACCTTCTGTTCATCTCATACTGTCTTCTCCTATGCAAAATCTTCTCAGTTAGCATTTACCTTCTAAATGTTCTCCAGCCCTGTTTCTTCCTCTTCAGATTCTATCCTTTTAATGTAAGATTACCACCAAATCTCTCAGTTCATTGTCCAACTTCTCATAAGAAAGCTAATGACCTTCTGCTTAATATAGTGGCAAAACACCTAACTACTAAGATTCTACAGGTTTTAGAGCTAATCCATATTCATGAGCCATCAAAAAGCCAACCAAAACCCACCAGTCTGAAATATATACCCTATAAAAATCTGTATCAACCAGGAGTGATTTCATACTCCACTTACAATGTGCCTAAACCAGACATGAATGACCAGTTATACCTCCAAAGTGATCCAGACTTATTTATTTATTTATTTATTTATTTATTTAAATGTTTTAAACAAGACTAGGAGAATAACATATGCTAGGTTACCTCTAATTATTTTCCATTTCCAGTTCATTTCTCTGAGGTTGAAATTCTGATCCAAACTTATCTTCATCCCAGTTTGAATCACAAGCAATTGTGATTCAATTGTGACTCTTTACAATAAAATGAAAATAAAACAAACGAAACAAAACAAAACAAATAACAACAACAACAAAACACAAACACCAAAGAGCATATTTTATTCTTGCATTACATAAGAAGAAATAAAAAGAAAAAGATTTTTGCAATTTATTTTCACTTTTCCATTCAATGGTGGAAGGATGTTGAAAGGGCGAGAAGAGTTCTCTTTATGTTGTACATAACATTAAGTGAGCTCTTATCTCATGAAGATCATTATGATATATAAGAACAGAATATGAACAGAATATGTGTTGATCATCTGGACAAAACAGAGTGACCACATTAAAGTAGTGAGCAGACAAATGGAGAGAGAGACTGGGGTTGTCTGGATCCAGTATTCGGAATCTAGCTCCAGCAAATACTGCACTTTTTTTTCTTTCTTTCTTTCCTTTTTTTTTTTTTTTTTTCTTTTTCCTGCTATTGTAAAATCAATATACTTGCAGGGGTTCATGTGTTTTGTTTTTCTCTTTATTTTGTTTTGTTTTGCTTTGTTTGTTTATTGCATTAAATTTATTGATTAACATTCTCCTCTAACTTCTGTATTTGCAAAACTGATGGGATTTTTAAGCATGAGAATCAAAGTAAAAATTGTTGATCGCCATTTCAAAACATTCATTGTAGGCTGTCAGAGGAATGCATAATGCAGAGCCTTGTTTTTTTTTTTTTTTTTTTTACATAGTATTGAAATATACATATTTTATTTTTTAACATTCCACAAGTGAGTAGAGCAGAGAGAACTACACGCTGTATTTTTTTTTTTTTTGTCGTAAAATACTGCAGTTCAGCCTTGCAATGACAAGAAAAAACTTGACAGCCAGGTGGATGTCACAAAGTCAGGTCTTTCTCCCTTCCCAGCTGGCAGTGGTGTGTAGCCAGATCACCCAAAGATCGTGGTGAGGACTTGCCCCAACAGATGTGAGCTGGCCCTTTATCACACAAGTCATTTTTGGGGTCTGAAGGGATGAAAATCAGAGCAGCAGGACATTGAAAAACTTGTTTTCTCTTCTCATCTCTTCACTTTCAATTCCCAGTCTCCTCTTTTACCCTTCAAAGCACACTGCCCTGCAGAACCTAGGGGGGCGTATTCAGATCAGGGATTGTTTCCATCTGAGGTGAGCTCCAGTCAATCCATTACATTTATAGCTTTTAAAACTATAATTGTTGTATTTTGTGAATGCTGTAACTTAAGAATACTCTAAAAAGTAAATGAAGTTACTTGTCAACATCTGTGCAGGGTTAGCACATATATTGGGAATGAATTCACTGAAATTGCTGCTTTGTATTCTTTAACATAAATATAATTGCAACTTGCTATGACAAAGTAAGTCTTGTTAGAGCACAGTGTGATATGAACATTATCCTATATGGGTAGTGGTTGTGAACTCAGCATCCCCTATTACTAGGAGTAATGTCAAGTCCTGAACATCAATTAAATCCTACTAATATGCTGCCTGAAGCTTGAGTGGATTTCCAGAAATATGACAATAAGTTCAGTTTGCCAGAGGTGTTAGAGAAACCAGGGAGCCAGAGAAGGCTCTTCCTGGTTTTGCTTGAGACAATTTTCTTCCTAGTAGCTAGTGTACTATTGTGTTTAGGGTTTAGAATGTGAACAATGCTGATAACACACTAATGTATTAGTTTCAAAAGGGCTTTTTGGTTTCTCATATTGCCCTGTCCATGAGGCAGCTGGGGGTGCACCAGAAGCTGGAAGGGGACACAACTGGGACAGCTGTACCAAAGCGACCAAAAGGACATCCCATCCCATGTGATGCCAAGTCAAAAAGAAAAAGTTAGTAGCAAGTTTTCAGTTACCCTATTGCTCAGGGGCAGTTTGGACATTGGTTGACTGGTGGTGAGCAATTTTATTGTGCATAACTTGTTTTGCTACTTTTTTTTTCCCTTTTTTTTTTTTTTTTTTTCCCCTCATGAGTTGAAATAAAGATAGTTATCTCAGGTACTTCTAATTTTTTAATTTCTCTCTCCCATCCCACTGCAGGGGAACCACTGTGTGGTTCTTAGCTGCCTGATGGGTTAAACCATAACACATGAATAAAGAAATGGTTAAAAGGGCAAAGACAATGGAAACAGGCTATTGGAAGAAGCTGTGTGGGGACCCTGCTGTTCAAAGCATTAGTGACTGACTTGGAAAACAGTGAAGGGTCAGGTAAGAAAGGTTGCAGGCAATTACAGTTTATTCAGGGCAAAATGCTAAGTGCTGCAGGAGTGGTAGATAAATTTCAATTTAGGTAGATGTAAATCAAAGCAGCCAAAAAAAATGTCCAAATTTACACCCATGGTAGTGGACTAGAAGATCTTGGAGGTATAGCAGACAAGTATTGCTGTGCAAATATTAGCTGTTAACAGTCAAATCAAACACTTGGAAATGATCAGGGAACAAGACAAATGATGAAATCCATGATGAATTTCTGTATGAACCATCATGCAAAGTTATTCCTTCTACTTTCCATTTTGTTATTTTCAAAAAGGATAAATGAAAAATATTTTTGCCAAGGATTTGGTAAAACTGAAAAAAGTTTTAAGAAAGGGTTTTCTTCTCAGATTATCAAAAGAGTGAAACAATATTGGGGATGATCAAGTATACTTGGGCTCTTCAACCTGGGAAACAGCTGACTGAAAGAGAATATGGCAGAGATATACAGAATTGTGAACAGTTATGAGGAAAATTATTTTTCATTGTCTTTTCCACTGTAGGAACTTGGGGCATGAAATTAAGCTAACAAGTGGCAAGTTAGAAATGGATGCAAGCAGGTAGTTCTTTGCAGAGCTTGGAATCAAGCTGTGGAAATCCTTGTCACAGCATGTCGGTGAAGCTGAGAGATTGAGAGGGTTGGAAAACAACGGCAGTAAAATTGTGAAAGAAAATCCACAGACATATAGACAAAGAGAGGGACAAATACAAAGAAAATATCTGTGGTCAGGACCCTATGAAGCAAATAGTTCCTGTGATTATCCTCAGACCTGTGAGAATTTTTCTTCAAGAACATTTGATTTTTTCTTTCAGCTTTGGCAGTATGAGCCCCCTGTTTGTAACATGGCTACATAAGTACATAAAGGTCTGCATCCTCTGGTAATTAACTGTTTGCTCCAAGCTCCACTTGGAACCATGGATCAGCCTGAATGAGATATTAGATGAGGTGGAGCTTCACCACACACTTTGGTTCCCTATTAAACCTTCTCATTAAGCTACAAAGAATGGGTGGAAACGTAGCAGGTGTAATTCTCTTCTATTAATCCACTCATTTTTCTCATGTATAGCTGAGTAAGTTCTCCTTGCTTTCTCCTCGTTAGTGAGTCTCTGAATGGTACTATCTTATGAAATATGCACTGTTAACAGAAACCTTTAGACATATCTCTCTGATAAACTACTACAGCAACAAATTACTGTTTAGAGAAGAGCCTGTGTTCTTGGGGGGAATAAAATCCTAATAAATGTGTAGCATGAAGGTGCCAATGAAATTATTGAATTAAATACTTCAGAGAGAAAAGACTTTATCAAATTAATGTCTGAGCCAATTCTCGTATACCAGACTATGGTTACAATGAAACTCACAGAAACACACTAAAGGGAAAATGTGCACAATATTGTATCATGTATATCAAAGACAGCAGAAGCAATATGAAACTGGTCTTAAATTTAACTGAGTGAAATGAGGTGAAGATAAATGGCTGAAGGTCCAGTTATGAGGTCTTGACTAGGGGATTCTAATCCATTATGTAAAATAGTTTCAACACTGCAAATTCAAATTGGATAGGATTGGATAGGATATTCAATAAGATATTCAATTGAATAGGATATTGAGATTATTTGAGTAATCTATTGGAAGTGTGGGTACAAATGACCTCTGAGAGAAGACCCAAGCATGTACCTATCAGCACTGAAGACAAGTCAGCCATGGCATGACCAGCCCTGCAGTTGCTGTGACACACCTACCCTTGTAAAATTGTCACATCACCAACACAGGGCAGAACTATCAGCTGTGGAACATTTCCTAGCTGTGTTGGCTTTGACCCAACCTACTGCAAAGGGAAGTGAAATCTGTTGGCAGAATGGGAAGAGTCCTTTGGATGTGTTGACACCTGCGTCTAGATGTCCTAGATCAATCACTGCATTGGACCAGGCTTTACTCAGATGGGATTGTGAGCCACATAGGAAAGTGCTCACTCCTACTTTGTTCCCTGCTTCTTAGCCAATTAACCATCTGTATAATAGGGTGCAAAGCTACAGCAGCAGTAATGACCTGGGCTGAATCATTAGACATTTTGGCTGTTTATTCAGCCATAGGTTGGATTTTTTATTTTTTATTTTTCTGAACTTCTGAGTGCTGAATATTGCAGACAGACTAGTACAAAATATATTATGATTAAGAAACATGACCAATGTCTTCCAGCTTGTGCAAATGAATGATCAGTAATGTATTTAATTAAATATTAAAGAACCATCTCATTTTGTAACTACAGATAAAAATTTTAATGAGGGAAATACACAATGTTCTTTATTATGTCATATATTTATTAGGATTTCATCAATTCCATAGATTTTCCACCAGGGCTTTATATTATCTGAAATTAATAATTTGAATATTATGAAAAAGATATTTGATGTCATAGGGGATAGAGGTATCTTCCTTGCTGCACTGTAAAAAAAAAAAAAGTCTTTATGTAATATAGGCAGATAATGAGACAACAGGATGGTTAACGAGTTGTAGTAGAGGGTTTAGAAAACTTTTTTAGACTTTGCAGATACACTTAAGTTGGAAAGTCTACAGCTGCGTTAGTTGTCTGGATGCCCAATATGATACGTGGGGGATCCCTAAAACACTTTTAATCTCATCCTAAAATTGATATCCAAGTGGGCCATTTGTTCATGTTTCTTTTTTCTGAAAGCAAAGGGAGGCAAGACCAACTGACTCACATCTGGATGCCTGCACTGCATGAATCTTCATGTTTAGGTGATATGGACACCAATGTAAGTTTCTTTTCTGTACTTGTCAATCAGAATATACCTAATAAGAGTAAAGGATATTTTGTAGTGGTTGCCTTCAGTTCTGTGTTAGAATAATAGTTTTTTGATTTGGAGGTCAATAGACCATAATTCCTAAATTAAACACAGACAAAAACATACTGTTTGGGGTTTTCTATAGTCCAGCAGAGATCCTAATTGTGAAGGAGACAACTACATTAAACTATTCCTGCTTATACTGATGACTAAGGAAACCAAGGAGGTCTTAAGCATGACTGTGTAGATGATGATCTTGCAAAAGTGCCAATAATTTGGGATTCACAGCTCCAAAATATCAGAGAAATTTTTATTAAAATACAAAATCTACCTTCCTCTTCAAAGCTCTCAATTTCCTTTGCATTTTATATTGTATGAGTAATGATTCATTTTAAATAGAATGTTTAGTGTGTTCTAATAGTTTCTTGGGCTGTAAATTGTTTTAAAAGCTGCATTAATCCTGAAGCAAATATGCATTTATCTTACCTTCTCAGTTGCAGCTTCTGTGTACTAGAATTTAACCTTCTTTCTAGATAAAGGATATTTCAGGAGATTCCAAAATAATACGGCTTTATTACTATTAAGATTCTAGTACGATCAAGTACATACTCTAGCAAAGAATGTTTAGTCATTCTCCATGTAATCTGTCAACACATAGCCCCAACCCTTCCTTTTTGAAATGTTTTTTTTTTTTTTTTTTTTTTCCTTTATTCATAAGATCTAGTGCTAGTTTAGACGTAAAATAAACACGATGAATAAAAGGTGACATTTAAGCAGTATATATAACCATGATACAGCACTTCCATTTTAAATTCTGTGGCTGAGATGACACTGACTTAGAGCAGTCACTGCTTATATAAACAAGCAGGTTTCTGTGGACTCCTTCTCCTCCCCCTCTTCTCCCCCCCTCCAAAAAAAAATGTGTATATATATATATGTATGTATGTATGTATATTTCACTTGCAAACAATTTGTATCCTTGGATGCTTCATTCAATATTTGGCCAGAAGTCATTCCTAGCATTGTAATATATATATATATATATATATATCTACACAAGCATAAAGGGTACACACACATATATATAAAGGCAACAGTAAGAAATACAAAGAGTATTGTTTTTTTTTATGACACCACTCTCCCAAGCCAACATCTTGAGTTTCACACAGAGGAGCTGCTCTGCAGAAGGAGAAGATCGGAGCTGTAAATGGGTTATACAAGAGCCATGGTAAGGCAGCCAGATTTTAGTGCCTTGAAAGATTTCGTTCTTATATCTGAAACAGAAAATGATTTTCTCTAGGAAAAAGAAAAAGAAATATGAAAGAAAGCTTTTTAAAGTGAAGACATATATGGGCCATGTCATATATAGCAGGACCATGCTATATCAGACACCATTGGGCTCCTAGAGGTACAGCACTGCTGATTTTTTTTTGGAAAGTGTAGCCCATGAGCAGATCACTAGTTCCTGTAGCCCAGGCAAACATGCTGAGCAATACAAGCATGCAGGAAGGAATTTGTTCCCTCTGTCCTCCTTCTGGAGAATTTAGTGCCTGCTGTTGTGTCAGCCAAGGTCAGGTCAAAAAGACCTACAGCTCTGCTGATCTACATACTAGCAGCTATAGAACTGAGTTAGAAATAAGTTATTTATTTATTTATTTATTTATTTTCCTTGATGGGTACACATCCTAAAAAGAGACCAGCAACACTTGACTGTCTAATTTACCTAACATTAAATGTATATGTGGAGGTCTAATCTAATCTTCTGTATGTTGTTTTGTGAAGCTTAGAGGAGCTAGCAGAAATGGTGTATTAGACAATACTTAAAGGGATAATTATAATTAGAGCCATATCTTATGCTACTAATTTGCCTTTTAGATTCTGTACAGAGACACACTGTGACCCGCCTAAGCACTCACAAAATATATTTTCAGATGCTTTGTTCCAGGCAGGATCAGTCCCACTGAAGCATAGTTTATTGCTACATACCCTTGCATTTAGTGCTCTCATCTCCCACACTAGTTCATTTGTCTTTGCAAGTCTCCTTGAAGTGCTTGCTGAAATGTTAAAAATACTGTATTCAGCCAGGCTGGGGAGCATGGAGGCCTCCTGCTGCTGCAAGTGATCTACAGGGCTAAAGATAGTGTTTAGCTAACCCCATGGTGATATAGTAACTAGAGTCCTTCAGAACAAATTGACCCGAGGTGAAGCATCCTGCAGAGTGTGTGGAGAGAACAAAAGCTCAGAACCAACATGCAGAGACAAAGTGGCCTGGGGAAGGATTAATTTCATGTGATGATACAGTTTGGTACATAATTTTGATCCAAATTCTGAAATCTAAAAGTGCCAAAATCTGCCAACCTTATTGAAGATGTTCTGTATTAACTCAGGTGAGGAACTTTAACAAGCCCAATAGATTAATTTCCTTGAATGCACTGAAATATTTCCCAAATTGTAAGGAATGAGTTTATAGATAAGGACAATGGGACATCATAAAAAGACATGATGCCAATACCAGTTCTACAGAAGCTATATGCTATAAATAAGGGCTGGGCTGCAGATTCTGTCTTATATTCAGAACTCACAAGAAAGGGACAGTTTAATACCAGAGGAAAGTAATCTATGAATTTTGGCTGCCATTCATCAAATAATTTGTCCATTCAGGCAGAATGTAACAACAGTAGTTATCTGTTGTGTGTTTTATTTAGCAAATGGAATTAGTATTCATCAAAAAATAGATACAACTTGTCATTCTACACAAGGAAATGCTCTCACTCTACTTAGCTCACTCTTATGGTAGAAATGAATTCTGAATGAAAACTTTGTGTGTAAATTTAAATTCATGCCACATTGTCAGGAGTGCATTAGATGTTTACAGGCTGCCATAGCATGCTATGTACTAGCAGTACTATAGTACTAAATACTAAGTTAGTAGTAAAATTTTAGTACTTGGTACTAAAATTAGCAGTACTTAGTACTTAGTACTGCTAATTTTAGGAACAATGTTTCCTTTGAGATTCTTGGCTGGAACAGGGTATGTAAAAAGTAGTTCAGGCATGTAGATATATAAAGGAATTAAAAATGTTTAATCACAATGTCTGGTCAAGGTGGTTCTGAGGAGAAGGAAAGATGAACAGGTCTCAACCTTGGTAGCCCAACCAGCTTTTCATGCGTTTATCACAATACTTATTATGTTCAACAAGTTTCTATCCCTGAAGCTACAGTTCTGTACCAAAACTCCTGGGCCTATATTCTTAGTAAAAGGAGTCTAGTTTCTAAAAAAAAAAACAAACAAAAACTGACACATTATTACTACCACTAAGCAATAGATTTTAGGAAGGCTAAGTAGAAAATGCAAAATAAATAATTAAAAAATAAATAAATACAGGAAACATGCCTGTTTTTCATTCCTTTATTCACTTTGTTCTGCTCCTTATGTTGACCTCAACAGCATTCATTGTTCCTGCTTCTGAGGAAGTGTAGAAAGATGACTAATTTTAATTTGATGACATCAAGCTGCAAGGAAGAGTAATGAATTATTCATCTTTAATATTTTTAAATAAGGCTAGATAAACTTTCTGAAAAATGTGTTTTAGACATAAGTTGTTGAGGTCTTTACAGGACATGGTGTGTGAGATATACAGGATTCTACCAGATAATCAGGTTTAATGACCATTCTGATCCTTAAATTAGGAAAAATATAGAAAATGTTTAGAAAATGATGAAAGAAAGAAAGCATACAGTTCTAGCCTATTTTGTTCAGCTTTCATGTTTGTCCCATAGGAGTCTAATTATATAAAGCCTTTAAAAGTTTATGAACTGCTGCTATTGGCTTATTTTATATAGCAGAACAAGGACAAGAGTTCCCAATTCTATGTGTTTGGACCACCTACACAAATATCAGGTAGAGAGAACGGGTGGAATAAGTCCATCCAATCTATGGAAAAAGTTATAGATTTTTTTTTTTTTTCTGAAACAAATGTAAAAAAAGATGATCTCAGAAGGGTTCATTTGAGTTACAGTGTATTTGAAGGTGTCTGATGCTGCCATTCAAAACCTCATGTCCAGAGCACAAGTTTGTCTAAAAAGTGTGAGCTAGAGAAGAAAATAAGAATTCGAAAAAGACAAAAAACAAAAACATTTCAGATGAAGCATACTGAGTTGCTTGAAATTTCCCTTGCAATAATCAGTATCTGGAAACTGGTAACTCAGGGCTCCAATCACACTGAAGGCAATCTTTTTTTTTTTTTTTTTTCTTTGTACTGGACAATTTAAACACAATTAACCTATATGTGGACAAGCCACTATTTCCTTTTCCTGCCATGTAATTCCTATTTCCTCCATCATATGAAGATGCAATGCTTTGATTGGACTGTTCAATCCAATGAAAACCTTCTGGGTGTTTCAGAAGTACCTATTGCTTCATAAATATTTATGTATTCATGGGTGTTTCAGTTGTCATGTTGGGTGTTTTATGATTTTGTTTACCTCCGTATTTTGATGTATTTATTGCTTCACTGGTTCCAGTGCATCTAACAGAGTCCAGAAAATATTTGATAAAATAGGTTACTTTTCAGTGTAGTATGGTCTCTAAATGATGCTACATGCATCCGTTATTTATCACTCAGACAGTTACTTCTGCCTATTTAGCTAATGATGGAGCATTTAATTTTCAAAACTTTCACTGTATTGTCTATGCAATACAGTGAAGTGCTTAGAGGAAAAGCAAGATGCCATGTATCTACATTACCTTTTTGTCTTCATTCACCTTAGGGCAATCTAAACAAATTCTAATTTCTTTATAGATCATTAAAATAAAAACAACTTACATTATTTATTAGGAGGAAATGGGTTTGGTGATTAGAGTACAGGACAAGAAATCATTGTTACTGCTTTTTATTTCCATTTGGACATCAGTTAAGTGATGCCCTGAGTGATATAGTGAATTCTGAACCTCAGATTCCCATCTATAAAGACATATTATAATTTCCAATGGTTTAATTAATTACTATTTATAAATGCCTTGTGAGTTTCTTGGATGAAAAGTTTATATAAACTCTCCAAAGCAGTGATTGTCTTGTTCCATGCTGAAAAAAATGTTGGATCTTTTAATATGAATAATGAGTACAACAGACAGTGAATGCAAAGCAGTATTTATTAGCTTTCATCTCATATGACTAAACAAACTTTATTCCCACTTGTGTGACAATGCATATGTATTTTCAAGACATTCTTCTTTAGCACAGTGGGGTGACTCTCTTGAGTAATTATTACTTTTATCAGCAAAGATTTGCAGAAGAGAAAACAAATATCCCAGTTGCCTTGACTTATGAGTCAGGGTCAATTTTTTGTTCTGCTGCAGAACTGAGACAAATCACTTTGACTCAGCTACTCTATCTGTGTACCTAGCTGCCACTGAGTTTACAGGGATTTAGATCTTGAAATGTCTTTGAGGATCTGGGTCTTCATCCCTCTCTGCTCCCTGTGCTGTCATCAGAGGGGTGGTAGCAGCACCCTCTGTATGTAGTGGAAGCAAACTATCACAAAGGGTAATTTTGCTAGTCTGAGGAAAGACAAATTTCTGTTGCTAACTTTCCACAGGGGAGTGATATGGCTAATATCCCATCCGGCTGCATTTGCTCTCATCCCCAGTGCTGTGGTACTCATTTATAGCCAAGTTGACTGGAAGTGATGCTTGGAATGAGTCCAGGAAAAGGCATGAACTCACACCTCTGGATCCATACCAAGACACCTTCACTGCTCTATCATCATTCTCCTCAGAGGGATGTAATGAGGATACATTAATTAATGTTTATGAACTGCTTCAGTGCTGCCATATTTAGACTGTTAAAGTTGCATCTGTAGGAATAAAACCACAGTCAGTAATTCTACCTGCAATACAAAGTAGAAATGGGAAGATGAAACAAAAGGCCACAAAGTGGGTCTCTCCTAAGAAGTACTTTTCCACAGTGTAAAAACATCATGGGAGATGACAACCCTTCAAAGGCAATCTCTGTTCTAGAGAAATCCAGGTGAACACAAACTTTGAAATGCCTGATGGAAGGTCTGCAAAACATTTACCTGACTTTAACCGAAGTGTTTAATGATGCTTTTTCATGAAAAAGAAATAAGCTTAGTGTTGAGAAGATATTTATCAAATATTCCAAAATATTTCAAGGTTAAAATGTTTGGTTGTGGGAGTTCTTTAAATGATTGGATGCTTTCTGGAGCATGTATTTGTGAAGCTTCATCTATCATACAGTGGATTTTCTCTGGAGAAAAATATGTTGCCTCTTATTTTGCTCATTATGTAATACAGAAATTCAGAATGTGATGAATGGATATCAGAGTGTGCCCAGATTACAGCCTTGTAATCACCCTGAGATGAGAGCGGGGGGATCAAAGAGACAACTCTTGGACATTTTGGTTTTGTGGGACAATTTCCTAACAAATGCAATTGTGAGCTCCAGGGCAGGTCCCACGATGACCTGCATCATAAAGATTAAATTTCTTTATAGATAACCGCTCATTACCTGCTTCATTTATTTGTTGCAGGGGCTCTGTTACTTTTCCACAGGCCATTATTTCAAGCATGTCCCCTGAATTTTGCAGTGCCTATCACAGGGTGTACTGCTATCACTCCAACTACTCTCCTTGCATCTTGAAAAATCCCCAAAGAGAAATTGTTTTCAGGCAGGTTTCAGTGGAAAAAAAAAAAAAGGTCATTAACTTAGAGATCCTTCTCTTCCCCGTTTTAGATTCTCTGCATGGGGAGCCTATTGCAAACTGCAGTCCTTGGCCTACTCTTTCCTTTATCCTTCCCACTTAACAGATCCAGCTGTCTGTAATATGAAATTCTATCCTTGTGTGTAAAGGAAACTCAAAGTACTGCGTGGTTGTATTGGGTCTGTCTGGGATGGAGTTAACTTTCCCTGCAGCAGCCCTTACAGTGCTGTTATCTGCATTTGAAGCTAGAACAGCATTGGTATCATACCAGTGTCTATTGCTGCACAATACTGGAACTGCATCAGGACTCCCTCCAGCCCCCTTCAGAGCCATCAGACTGGGGGTGGGCAAGAGGTGGGGAAGTGACATCACCAGGGCAGCTGACCTAAACCAACCAAAGGGATATTCAATATCATATGATGTCACACTCAGCAAGAAAAGGTGGGAAAGGGGAAGGAGAGAGGGGATTCTCGTTATGAAGACATCTGTCTTCCCAAACAACCATGACACATATTGGGAAGGCTCAGAAAAACAGCAAATAAATTACAAGATATACCAAATTAATTTAATGTGATATGTAACATTTTAGAAAAAGACTTCTGGAATATTCCAAGATCTCTAAATAGAATTTGAATTGTTTTCATTCTTCTCATACCCATCTTTAAATAGGGTATTTTGGTCACAGAATTGGATAGAGAAATTTGTGAGAGATAAAAATCTCATCAACGGAGGTGTGTTTAGCAGGTGGAGGGAGGTGATTGTCCCTCTGTGCTCTTACCTTGTGAGGCCCCACCTGGAATGCTGTGTTCAACTCTAGGGTCCCCAGCACAAGAAAGATGCGGATCTGTCAGAGTGGGTCCAGAGGAGGGCCATGAGGATGATGAGAGGGCTGAAGAACCTCTCCTGTGAAGAAAGGCTGAAAGAGCTGGTGATGCTCAACCTAAAGAAGAGAAGATTCTGTGGAGAACTCATTGCAGCCTTACAGTCTTGAAGGGGGCTTATAAAAGAGATGAAGAACAACTTTTTACATGGGCAGATAATGGTAGGACAAGGGATGATGGTTTTAAACTAAAAGATGGGAAATTTAGATTAGATGTTAAGATGAAATTCTTCACTCAGAGGGTGGTGAGGTGCTGGCACAGGTTGCCCAGAGAAACTGTGGATGCCCCATCCCTGGAGGTGTTCAAGGCCAGTCTGGATGGGGCTTTGAGCAACCTGGTCTGGTGGGAAGTGTCCCTTCCCATAGCAGGGGGTTGGAACTGGGTGGGCTTTAAGGACCTTTCCAACACAAGCCATTCTGTGAGTCTGTGATTCTATGATCACTGTTAACAATATATATAAAGCAGAATATGGATTCATGTTAGATAAAATAATATCTCAAGTACTCAATGTTGCCATTGCACAGTGGAGATAAGAAAAGATTGATTTGAAATTGATGTCAACAGGGAAAGAACTACTGCTTTCTTGGGAAAAGGTTGAAGCTGTACTGATGTAGTAAGCAGGCACTGTAAAATTCTTTTTGATTTCAGGTAAAGGAAATAAGGTTAAAATTATGATAAAAATATTCACAATGTTGTAGTGATTTTGGATTATGTGTTTATGTCTTTAAGTTCATTCTGCTCCTCTCTGGCTCAAGGTGCATGTGCCAATGTCTCCAGTTCAATGAAATTTAAAGGAGATATCAGTCCAAGCTGCAGCTGAAGTGGAGAGAAATTACATTATTTTAAAGTAATGCATTTATTGGCTAGAAAATGTAATGATTTTTGGCACCTAGCAATGTTTTAGTGCCATCTGGTGACTCCCCAAAATGTTACAAGAACATTTGCCAAAATGCCTGGATAATGTAAATATATTGGTAATGGGCAAATTTTGAATTAGTAATTATACACGGAAAACCTAACTCTCAGGGCTTCATTTCTTGAGTGATAGGATACAGTCTTTTAATTCACACTATCAGAACATGAATTTTAAGTGCCAAATATCTGTATGATAAAGCTGACAAATGAACAATATACCTTCACAAGAATTTTCCATGAAAATGAGAAAATGAAGATCCACAATTAACTGCAAAGAGAAAAAGAAGAAAAAGTGGTTCTATAAACAATCCAATCTATCAAAAGAACAGGTGAGAATTACAGAAAAAAAAAAAAAAAAAAAAGAAAAGAAAAGAAAAGAAAAGAAAAAAAAAAGAAGAAGAAGAAGAAGAAGAAAAGAATCCTACTGGAGAAAAAGAGGTTTTATAAAAATATAACTCCATACAGAATATATTCTTTCTTATTTAAGATGTGTTAAATTTTATCTCTGTTCTTAAAATGGGATCTAGGTTTCTCCACCAATAATTACATCAAATAACATAAATTAGCCATTGTTTTATATTTTCTTTAATGAGAGAAAACCAACCTTCAAAATCACACTTCCAGGCACCTAACCTTTGTTAGAGTCCTTTAAATCATGTTCTACACTGGAAAAACAGCTACAGTGTTAAAACAGCTCCTCAGCTGTTGGACTTAGCAGTCCTATTCCCTTTTCTGGGTTCAGAGTCAAATCAGTTGACTTTAAACACTTTTTCACCCTGTTTTTCATGTCCTTTTACTGTGTAGCACTGACATATCTAAGAAAGATTGATCTTCCATATCTTCCATCTTTTGCATCATGACTTGTGTAATTATTTACTAAGTTTCAATCAGTAAGTTCAGTGCAAATGTCTTCCTTTTCCAGGTTTCACAGCTGCCATTAGAGGCTTAATATGACTACAATGAGCCTCATAGGAGTGATTGCAAGCATCTCGTTTTCATTTTCACTGTAGGTTAAATATTTTACTTCAGATATTAAAGAAACCACTTTGATTATCTCTTGTGCCTTATCCTCTTCATCAGAGAAATATTTGGCTGCTGCACCTTTGTTCTGACATTCACAGACAGAGACTGATACAGTAATGAAAGGGAGTATATGATGAGACACCAGAAATAACAAGTGACTGGACTTGATGACCTAAGAGATCCTTTTCAGTCTTGTCTTCCCTACTGACATCCTAAACCTTCAAATACCTCTAACAGAAATTGTACATTGAGGGCTTTGTCCTCAGCCCTTTCAAGTCCCCACAGAGATTTGTATTGACTTCAAACGGGTCTGTATCAGTCTACCATTTTCTTAATTTCATGAAATTTGCTTGGACTGTTGTGATATTTGAACACCTTTTACATTGTGCTAGGTTCATGCATTTCTGGCAGAATGCTGCTTTATTGCTTCTGGTGGCATTTATGGCTTTAGAAACAGTGTTGGCATCTCCTCTAAAATGGTTGCTTGGCATCATAACAGCACTTAATGAAGAATGATACTGGAAAGGGTCCAGTTCCCTATACAGTACAGACAGGAATACCTACAGTTTCTCACACGTGAAAAGTCAGCTCAACTAGGTTTCTTCTTTCAGCTTCCTTGTACTCCTCACCACTCTTTCTGGGTAAATATCATTGCTTCAACTTCAGCTTCAATTGAAGATTCAACATCAATTAAAAAAAAAAAAAAGTTAAATTATGATTGGAAAGTAAATATTTTATATCTATAATTCTTTTTAAGACTCAAAGTTTCTCCTAGCTTACACACTTACATTTTCCAAGTTTTGTTGTTGTTGTTGTTGTTTTCTTGTTTGCCTTGAGGTAGGGGAAGAATAAACAAAACAAATAAACAAAACTAGAAACCAACCACCAAAACAGTTTTGAGGTAAAAAGAGATGAGAAATAAAGAAGAAGGAGAAACAGAGGAAAAGAGAAATTAAGAAATCCCAGCCATGTTGTCACAGCATAACCATGTGTTTCTCAATGAGATCTCTTACTACACAAGCAACTTTTTGTTATCATGTCACATTTGCCCCACTCCAATTTGTCTATCACGTGATACTAAGGCTGCTTCATTATCGATTGACATCTAAATCGAAAACATTATCTCCCCCTTGAGTGGGTTCTCTCAGTATCATCCACTAAAATTCCCTCTGATTCCTTGTTTCCTCTACTCCCCCAAACTATCAAGAAGTGGAGAAGTACTCAGAATTCCTGAGAAAGTAATTTTATACCTTTCTACCAGTGTTTTAATTCTGCGTGGCACCCACCTGGCAAACTCATGTCAGATGAAGCACTTTATCGCTACTTAATCACTCTTACCTTCCCTTTCTCATGGCATAAAGGCACGTGTTTATTTACCACTGATAGTTCTTTGTGGGCTGAGGGAAATCTGACTGATGCCAGCCAACTGCACTCTTGGAGGTGACATCAAAGTACTCTCCAATTTTGTTTATTATGCACTGTCTGTCTTTTCTAGAGTTTGGAAGACTCTAGAAAGTTCTATCTAGAAAATCTATCCTGATTTTATGTAATTGGCAGGAGTACCCTTTCATTTTTTTGATGTTCTTAAATGCAGGGATAGGTTTGTCAAAGTCAAGTAGTCAGCCTTTTTTGAATGAAAGAAGACCTATGCTTAAAAAAGTGTTATGAACAATATCTTAAGGGAGAACAACATTGACCTTCATGCCTGGACACAACCGTATATCAAAACTTCTGTGTGGGAAGACAAGCTTAGTAATAATTAAGGAGTTACATGACAGAATAGACTCATGGAGTTCTGCACGTGTTAAGATGTACTAATAAAGAGAGCAGGAGACATAGAAAAACACAAGCCCAAACTTAGGTACACAACATTTGGTGCATCAACAACATCAGAAAAAAAGTCTGATGGAACATGACAGGCACAAATAATACATGAACACTTAGAGAGGATTGCACAAAATTTCTGGCTGGCGGCTG